GACCACTAAGAGTCGTGTCCATGAATTGCATGACTAACATTGGATACAATCCAAAGCACTCACTCTGTAATAAACCCTCTTTAGATGGGGCAGTGCTAATTTTACTCCACCCCCTCAGTATGGAGATGCAAACTGTGTAACAGTCCAAAATGCCTCTATAACAGGCAGTATAAAACATAATATAATATGCACATATTTATTAATATTCTTTTATTTTTTATTATTTATTTCTATACCACTCTTCATCCAAGGATCACAGGGTGGTTTACAATATAAAAACACAAAAATACATAGCATAGCAACAAACAAACAAAATTAACACACACAAACCCAGTTTGAAAGGCCATAGATGCTTTAATTAGTCAAAGGCCTGGCTATAGATGAATATTTTTGCTTGGTATCTTAAGATGTATAATGATGGCACCAGGTAATCCTCTATGGGGCGAGCATTTCACAAACAGGGAGCCACCACAGAAAAGGCCCGTTCTTGTGTTGCTGTTCTCCAGACCTCTTGCGGAGGAGGCACACGAAGAAAGGCTTCAGATGATGATTGCAGGGTTCGGACCAGCACATATGGGGAGAGGCAATTCTTGAGGTATCGAACCATTCAAGGCTTTATAGTACAAAACCAACACTTTGAATTGGGTCCAGAAACTGATTGGCAGCCAATGCAGTTGGGCCGGGATTGATGCTATATGCTCAAACCATGGAGAGCAATCTGGCAGCTGAATTTTGCACCAGCTGTAGTTTCTGAACCATCTTCAGAAGCAGCCCCACATGCAACGTATTGCAGTAATCTAGCCAAAAGGTTACCAGAGCATAGAGCATAAGGTTGTTGTTGTTTTTAAGTACGATGGGGGGAGACAGAGGAGGAATGAGGGGCAGCAAAGGGAGGCGGAGAAGGAGGACAGCAGTGCTACCACCATCACGAAGCGAATGAGGGAGACTGCAACAGAGCCACTGTCCTGTCTTGGACAGCACAGTCCCTTGCCCCGTTCCTGCATTTCTGACTGTTGCTACAGTTGCAGAGGTGTTAACTCTCATCTAAAATAAGACAAAATCTCATTGCATATTTTCCCTCCGAGTTAGGGGGCTCCTAGCCCAGGTGTCCTGGCCCCCGTCCAGCTCTTGGAATAACATATTCCTTCCTTTTAATCCCCATGTAATACGGATTGCGTGCAGTATTCTTTACTGCCAGGCTGGAGAACCTTCTGTAATGTTGCATTTCACACCAGAGGAAGCCCTATTTGAGCTCTGCTTCGCCCCGTACTTTAAGCCATTTGTAAAATGCTTTGACAGCCCTCAGCAGAACAGCCATTGATATCGCCAGGGTTATCGTTCCTCCTCCCCCCCTCCCAGCTGCTGGCAGCACTTTCTAAGACCTGTAAGCTTTATTTGACAAAGCACCTGGCAGTTTTCATCCTAGTGTGACTTCAACAGAATGGCCTATATAGGCTGCTGGAGACCAAATGAACAATGCTGTCTTGTGAATAACATAGCATTAACAGGGTGGTATATTAACATTATGTAATCTCTTAACATTTAAAAAAAGCTGTTCTAAGAGCTGGCGTAGCTTAGAGCAGTAGTCTTAAACCTTTTCAGACCAGGGACCTACCTTTAACCCAGACATGCATTCGGCAACACAGTTCTTAATTTTTTAAAACCCATATGTTTATATGGTGTTGGTTCTGCTGTTGTGGTCCATATTGGATCAGGCTACCACCCAGTAGTGCAGGGCGGGATGTCAAAGCAGGAGTCGGGAGCAGGGCAGCAAAAACTCACAGCAAGGTGTAAGTGAAGTTAACTATTTATTCAAAGGAACAAAACAGCTCAGGCTTAGCAAACACAGTAACTCATCCCAGTAGGTCTTGCCCCAATGAGGCAGTTGCGAGGACTGAAGGACCTTGCCTTCCCACAGCTCTCTAAGTCTCCTCCTGCCCAGGGTCCTTCTCAAGCAGCCTGAGACTTCTTCGACTTGTTTGTCTTTGCCCTTCCCTCTTCATACCACTTGGGGTTCTGGGAGACCAGGGCATGGGGGGGGGGAGCTGGTTGCAGCAGGAGGGGAGGACACCCTGGCTTCTTCAGCTCCCTGTCTGATATCTGCCTCTTGCCTGCCCCCCTCTTCTCCAGCCTCTGCTTCTACCTCCGCTTCTAGGCAGCTGTCTGCAGCAGCCTCCTGCTGCTCACTAAGCATTGTTACCTCTTCAGCTTCCGACACCTCCTCCTCCTCCCAATCTCCCCCCCTCTTCTCCCTCTGGCCACTCAGTCATCCCAACACCAATCCACTGCCTCTGACCTTTCTTCCCTTGGGAGTTGCCCAGCTGGTGCCTCCCTCCAGACTTCTCTATGTCATAGAATCATAGAAGTTTAGAGTTGGAAGTGGGTAGAGGAACTAATTTAATTTTCCTCTTACAGTAGGCTACTATCAAGACACACTCACACGCACACACCCATCTCTCTCCTCCATCTGAACAAGCAAGATGCATTATCAGAGTTCAAGGACACATTGCAGCCAGGCGAAAACACCCACTGAGGATGTGATGCACAGCCAGTGAGGGGTGTGGTCCGTGGAGAAGTGATGTGACTAGTGGAGAGTTCTGAGGGCCAAATAGAGAGGCCTGGAGTGTCGCATTTGGCCCATGTGCCTAATGATCCCCACCCCTGTCCTTCAAGCTTAAAGTGCCCAGGAGAAGGGCCAGATTGGCAGGGTTGGAACACTGAACAGCAACAACTTCTGCTAAAGGATGGGAGTGTGCTGTGGTAGTTTGTTGCAGACTCCACCTGTGTTAAACATATTTTGGAAAGCACATTGGAAATCGGGCAACAGGACTGCAGTGGGGAGGCTAGAGATCTCTTTTATAACGAAGGGCTCTCAAGTCATAGCCCTCAGGAGACCTGGCAACAGCAGTGGCCTCTGTCAGTTATCGGCCAGGGAGGTAACCCTTTCCAATTGAAAGGATTTTCCACATGCTGTGAAATTCCAGGTTTGTAGGAGCTTTCTTACATATTCTGGCACCAAAATATGTAGAAGATTAATGGGTCACAAAGGAGCGGTAACAGGAACTGAGCTGTTTCTAGGGCAACAAAACATTCCCCCCACCACCACTTTTTGTTCCTTATTCACTTTTATATTGTAATGATACCTGTCGCTTTGAAATTCTCCAGCCATTTTGCAGCCAATAAATGGGGCAAACAAATTTCTTTCCTGAAGGTCCTTTGTTCGTAAGCCTTCGTATTTAAACCAAGAAGGCAGCACTCCTTTGAACTAGACCTTGAATCAAATTTTGCTGCAGAGTGTTAGTGGATCTAAACTTGTCTCTCAGAGCATGTGCAAAGGGGAGCTGAATGGAAGCAGTATTCAGGCACTGCTGGAAAACTGGTTAGGTTGTCAGGAGAGCTATGGTTTTGCTTCGAGACTAGTTCTGCCTCCTGAGTGCTTGTTTCTTAGCCTGTACATTTGAAAATGAACAGATTGTTGCAAAGACAGCAGAAGCGTTGTGTGTCCTATCCTCAACGTAACATTTCTTAAATTAAAATGTATTGCTTTTTAATAACCATTTAGAGCGTATGGTAGTTTGTGCATGATAGCTTGCAAGTTCAGATATAGAAACTTGTTACAATAGTCATTGGCCGCAGAAAGACAGGTGACACTTGCTGCTTATGTGTGAGATGACTAATTCATTCATAGTTTAAAAGCATGATCGTCTCTATGTAGTTTTCCAGGTAATTGCACTCCAGGGTCCTACTCTACAGCAAACATAGTGTAACAGTTAATCCATCCCTGCACATTAATTCCCAGCTTTTCTTTATATATTTCAGGAGAGTATGTAATTATGGTCCATGAAGTGACTTCACCTCCATTCCTAGGCCAGCATCTCCCACCTGCATTCAAGCTCTTGAGGGTTATGCCAAAGAGAGGCAAAAGTGCAGGTTCTGAAAAGGAAACAAAAAAAGATGTTGTCAATTGAAGAAAAGAAATTGAAAGATGTGACCACGACTATGCCTAGCTGGACACAGGTGAACTATTTCCCCTTAATAGCTGTGACAATTGATTATTACTGTAATATCCCCACCCTCAACACCAATAGTTAAAATTTGATCCCCATAAAACTGGCTATAAAATGAGAAATTCGAAGCAAAGAAACAGAAAACTTCTGGTTCTATTGGATATTCTTTCATATGAACTGTAGTTAATTCATACTATGTTACTATAGGCCAGTGATTCTTATTCTTGCAAGCCAATTGCTACTTTTTACCATTATGTAAGCTGTGCATTTGAAAAACAAAAACAAAAAAAATGATGCATGTGTGCAACAGTTTGGTCACATAACCATGGACCATAAAGCCCAGCAAAGCAGATGGTCAACCAACAGCCAAAAACGTACATCGCAGATTATATTTATGACTGCTGCACTTGCGCCCTAATTGCATGTTTGCAGAGAGATAGCTTTGCTCTTTAAAAAAGAACTCTTGATCACCCAGTACATTTTTCTTTAAAAAAATAATAATAATCGCCCACTACAAGATGGCAAGCAGAAAACTGCCAACAATCTTGAAAAGTGTCTCCTGTCATCATCGAAAGAGGATCTGAAACTGGTTTAATTATTCAAAAAATAAAGCCCCAGCTGAACAGGCCAGAAATGTATCTGAGCAATTATGGTGGAGGAGGAATGGTGAGTAGATCTGTTTGGAACATATTTGTGTCTGGCAGCAGCCGGTGTTGGAGACGCAACGTGCTCAGCCGTGTTGGATGAGCAGTTCAAGACTCAACAGTGCGTCATGGCAAAGATAGCCAAGTGAGAGTTGAGCTGCATGCAACAGTGAAGTCCTTTGGGACTGTATCACTTCAGTGTGTGTGTGTTAACCCATGTTTAAAAGGTTCTTGCATTGTAGGGTTGAGAAAGACCCTTGCCAGGGACCCTGGAGCATTGCTATCAGATGGAATGGGCTATACTGGGCCCATGGGCTGACTCATAATAAGACAGCCTCATATGATGAAAGGAGGCATGGCTTAGTGGTAAGAGTGTTTGCCTTAAATGCAAAAAATATCCCTGATTCAATTTCCAAGCATCTCCAGTGAAAAAGTGACAGGGTATCCTTTTTGAGGTGAGGCGCCTCAAATGTAAACAGTATTCCAGATCTGCATGACTTGGAAAACTGTGTACAGTTCTACTCAGTACTATTTTTCTAGAAAAAAAGAGGTGCTGAAACTCACCATGAGCGCCTCCCTCATTATCTTAGAGTGGCACCTACCTGAGAGGTGCTGGAACTGAGTTCCGTTGAGTTCCAACTGGGGGAAAAAGCCCTGGTTCTACTTGTTTCACTTCAAAAAGGGATCTCTTACAGCTGGAAAAGGTTCAGATAAGGGAAACTGAAAAGATCAAGGGGGTTGGAGCTGGTCGCCCATGAAGAAATGTTACAACATTGGGGGCTTTTTAGAAAAATGGTGAGTAAGGGAGGATGTGATAGAGATGTGTAAGATTATGCATGGTGTAGGGGGGAAATGAGTAGGGAGACTTTCCCCCTCCTTTATTAATACTAGAACTTGGGGCCATTCAGTGAATCTGAATGTTGGAAGTTTCAGGACAGACTTCACACAGTTCATAGTTAACTATGGAGTTTGTTTCTACAAAATGTAACGATGGCTACCACCTTGGGTGACTCTAGCAAAGGATTAGACAAATTCACGGAGGATAAGGCTTCCAATGGCTACTAGCCATGTTGGCTGTGTTCTATCTCCAGTGTAGGAAGTCTCTGAATACCACTTGATGGGAATCACAAATAGGGGGAGTTGCTGTTATGCTCAGGTCCTGCTTGTGGGCTTCCCATATGCATTTGGTTGGCCACTGTGAGAAAAGGAATGCTGAGTTAATGGTGCATTTTGGTCTGGACCCTTCTTGTGTTGTATCATGTTTGAAGGTACCACTGTCTCCCCCCAAGAAGACAGTCTTTTACTAATCCACAACCTCTAAATACATATTTCCTTTTGTGTTTGAGAGATTTTGATTTTTAGCAATGAAAGACATGCCAATTTTACAGGGCTTCTGTAGGATTAAAGAATGCAGAAACGAAGCCCGATGAATCCACACCAATGAGCATACACAAAAGAATAACTGGTAAAACAGCAAACCACACTTGGCAAGGGAAGAGTTTATTCCACCACCCTGAAGTGCTTGTGGCAGCCCACAAGTTGTGAGCAATAACATCTGTGTTTGTCATTATCATTGTCCCCCTGCTGCCAGTGTTTTGTGAGGAAGGGAGTGCAGTTAAGAGAGATGAATGGTGATATATATTAACTTGATGGATAGCAATACAGATTTACTCAAAACTTCCTGGCAGCTAATATTGTGTGGCTCCTGTTAATTTAACATAAGAAGAGCTGTGTTGGATCAGGCCAAAGGCCCATCTAATCCAGCATCCTATTCTCACAGTGGCCTGTCAGATGCCCCAGTCGGAAGCCCGCAAACAGGACCTGAGTGCAACAACAACTCTCCCCACTCGTCATTCCCATCAGGTGGTATTCAGAGGCGTACTGTCCCTGACAGTGGAGGAATAACGTAGCCATTGTGCCTAGTGGCCCCAATGCCTTATAAACACCAGTTACACCTACGGAGAAGAAAGTATAGTTAAAAAGCAAATACAGAACTACAAGATAGAGGCTGGGTGACAACGTGGTGCTGCAAAGAATTTTGGGGCAGGCAAAAGGTCCAGAGAAGAGGCAGCTGCCAAAACTTATTGCTTATGACAAGGCAAGGTCATATAATCTGTGATATTCTGGTCATTTATTTGTTCATTGTAACTGGGGCCATGGTCATCTCACAAAACAGAAAACTCTGGATTTTTCTTCCACATACACAAATGTCCATGGTACAAATTACATATCGCTTTACGTACAGTAAAAATTATAGTGTACTTAAATATGACAAACATGGGATTATTAACACATAAATTTTCTATATAGGTACATGTGGGATTTGCAACACAATGTTGCAATGTGGAGTGGTACTGTCCAGGATTCCAACCATCTGTATCATCTATCAAGTGTATTCCATTTCCCCTTCTGCATTCCACAGTGCTCTGTTTCCCCCTCACCTCCAACAAGCAGTCAGCTTTCCATACTACAGATCATGTTCAGTCCTCACTGAACTGTTTTGTGTGGGTTGGCCCCCTTTTAAACTTCTTTTAAAAAGAATTTTTCTGCAAACATAGGGGTTGCCCTAAACCAGCTGATATCCTCCATTTGTGGTGCCATTTTGCCTACATAAGAATTGTCCCTTCAAAAATGTGTTCAATATGCTATATAAGATGCTGCTCATCAGGGACATGTGATTGTCTAACTCCCTATTCAGTGTGCCAAGCTTTGCCTTCATAGTGTGTGAAGCGGTCTGTTGTGCACCCTCATTTTGGCATTTTTCAGGACAACCTTTGACATCTTAGTTCAAAAGACTTCATATAGTATACAAGCATCCTCCTAGCCAACTTTGCTCAGGAATTCTAAGAAACAAAAAAAAAAAACTAGTGCAGTTTTTAAATTGGTGGTTAAAATCAGTGCAGTTTTGAAAGGTTCAGCCTGCCACTATAATTCCAAATGGCATCCAGTTGTACCCAAAGATAGAGGAGGACCTGCTCCTTAATCTCAGGAACCATCATGCAAAATTTGGTTACAGTATTTTAAGATGTGTCCAAATGCATAGCAAAAAAGACAAATGACTATCCAAAATACAAATATAGATCACACATGAGAAAGATGAGGAAGAGAGTAGGAAGGGTCAATGTTTAGCATACAGGTTTTTCCTAATGGGGAAAATAGCAGCCTCAGGGAGGGTGATGGTCATCAAGAGTTCTCCCTGTGCTGCATTCATAAGTCTGGATCTCCCCTCCCTGGGGCTGATGTTTTCAGAGGCTTATTCACACATCTCCATCAGTACGTCTAGTCCGGGTTTCCATGAATACACACAAACTAATGTGATGCTAATTAACATTAGGTGCATTCAGAATCTGGAGTATAAATCTAATAAATAAATGCTGATGATTATGATAATGATTAATCAGTGAAACAGGCATATGTACTAGGGATGCATAGCTAGCCTTCTGCTTTTAAATATCTGCTTTTGCAGTTTTTTGCAATTTAATCTAACCTTAAATAATATATCCAACATTGTACTGGAAAATACTAAGAGATAGCATTGCAGGGTTGTGTGGTTGGTCAGACGCTCTGTGTGTATCTTAGTTTCTCTTATCTTAGTACACAGAGAGAGACTGACAGCCCAAATGATGTACAATGCCATCTCTTAGCATTTTCCAGTACATACAGAACCTTCAAAAAGTATGCAATAGATTCTGCAAGACTAAGCAGTCAATATATTATCCAAAGAGGAGATTAATTTGGGAAGGACACTGGTTAGAAGGTTGACAGAAGCTAGGTTTAGCACTCCTGGTTTTATCTGTCTGTAATATGACGGTGCTTTCTCTCACAGGCATGCACACGCACACAAGCGCATATATCCCAGAATGCTCTGCACACTTTCTGGAGACTAGAAACAGCTGCTCTTCATTGCAGACCCCTTGCTCCTTTTTCCCTGATCGTTTAGAAGACCATATCTGAGAAGTGTGATGGAAACCTGACATACGTTACTGGCATTTACTACAGGATGGACTTAGTAGTGATCTGTTGCTTTTTTGCCAAAGGCTGTTAAAATACGTTCTTCAAGAGGAGACCGATTAAGTTAAAAACACATTATTAGTAAATGTTAAAAGTAAATAAAGTAAGCAATAGTTTACACCAGTCTTTGGTCTGAATAACTGCCCCTGTCCTCTGTCAGCTCCTATCAGCTTTCTGACTCCCCACCCCTCACCCCCACAGCTGAGCAGCTGTCTCTGATAAAGATGCATTCTGGGCCTTGCTTGACCACACTCAGAGGCCACAAGGCAGGATGGACTCAAGACCAGCAAACAAATGCTTAAAAAACCCCAAAAGCTTTCAGGATTATGATTACAGATGGCTGTATAGTTCACAATTCCATCAGACCATGCATTTGCATGTGTGAACACACACAAACAAATCTCCAAAATGTGGCATAAGGTACAGAATCCAAGTCAGGAAGGTATCATAGCATTGGGGTAGAGTAGTGCAATTTGCATTTGTCTGGAACATATACAACCCTGCTTTAGACATGAACAGGTCAAGTGAAATAACCAGGATTTCAGGGTGTGCTGGAAGAGCACTTTTTGATTTAATGTGAAAATCAATTCTGACTCAAATTCAGCCAATCACCATGTAGAACAGAAAGTGCTCTAGGCAAAGGCTGGTGAAAACTAAGTGGTTTTAGCCTACATGTTTTGTTCAAATATTCTATGCAGACTTGTCCTAAAACTTTTTGGGGGACATTTAACCCAGGCATGGGAAAATATCGTTTTTTGTAGCATAAAAGAGAGAAAATGAAGATCAAAAACACCACAAAGAAAGAAAACACACTCATGAAAATGTTTTCAAGTTACTTTATGTTACTCTTACTATGCCCAGCCTTCCTTAACATTATTATCCTTCTCACTTTTATTTCTCATTAGATCCCCTCCTTTATCTCTCCATTTCTCCCCTCAAAAAAATAATAGTATTGCAAATCTTGGCTTAAATCTGCATTCTCAGCACAATGAGAGCTCTGTCAGCCCATGATGAGGTCTGGCATCACCCTGGATGCTATCCAGACTAATCCATCCCAGATCCCAGGGAACTGCTCCTTTCCAGCATAGTTAGACCCATGGCAATAATAGGACTCTGCTGTGAGAGATAACAGCAGTTCTCTTCTCATTGGGGTTAGAACGTGGATCTGTTGACAGCATTTAACTGGTACAACACAGCTGGGATCTGTCTGATATTTTGAAGCATTGCAGCCTTCATTAAAAATGCAATTACATTTTCCCTGCACCCCACATCCTTGCTAGGGGCAGGGCATAGTTTCCTCCATACTTTCCAAAAGAAGTGGAGGCAAGTTGATGCAAGCCTTCTATTCTTCACTTCAGCACACACACGGTCCCTACTAATGTGGTCCTGTCAAGCGTTGTTGTTGTTGTTCTTA